CGACAGCAGCACGCCGCCCACCGACAGCAGCACGCTGCCCACCGACAGCAGCACGCCTTCTCCCCGCTAAAATACAGCCCACCCACAGCACGGAGTAGCCGCTTCATGACCACAGACAGCAGAGAACTTTCCATATTTTATTTTTACCTTTTCATTTGATAGTACAATAAAATAACAACAACAACAAAAAAATTCTAGCCCCAAATTCCACGGTGTGAAGGAACCAAGTGCTTCACTCCAAACCATGAGCGACCGATAAAAGACAAAATAAGGCGTTACTCCAGGTTTACAGTGACATTACCTTTGGAAGGACTGGGTCACAGAGGACGCCACTACAAGCAGCGTATTTTACACTGCTCCCAGAGAGCAAACCATCCCAGGGCTCCCAGGCTCTGCGGCTCCCGGAACGTTAGGTTTGGTGCCTCTCACACCAGCCTACAGGAGCGGGGGGAGAAAAGGGGCCAAGGAAGTTTGTAATTCGACTTCCTTTTTCATAAAAGACAAGCTTTGTGGTAAGACATTTTGCCCGGATGGCAAATCCGAGGTGTGTAAACACAGCCAGAGCAATACAGCAACTGGAGGAAGACGATGGGGTAAGTGCAACCAAGGCAAAAAGGAGTCACTTCTCTTTTGACATGATCAGGGCAGATGGCTGGGGTGAGGATATGATTCAGTAGCAAAACAGGTATCACGGTACACCTAGACTACAGAATCAGTGAGAATATAGCTTAAGCTTGGTTGTTAACCTTTACAAATTCTGAAGAATATTTAAAATCTCTTCCTTCCCCTTCCTCACACAATTGTAGTCTGATGCATTTTTCAAAAGCACAGAAGTTTGCTTTTGCTGAAATTTAAGGCTATTATGAAAAAATTAAGTACAGGACTCCTCTTTCAAAATTAAGTATAAAAGTCAATCCACTCTAGAAGGTCTTAGATAACTCTAAATACAAATATCCATTTTCCAAAGTGAGTCAACTCATTTTTATATTTGGAAGACTAAAAAAGTTATACTACAAAAGCTTGTCTTCATACACTTACACTTTTTGTCCTAGAAACCAGTGATACCAGGAGTTACCAGTGTAAGGTAACTTCAGCTCAAGACACACACCCATTCCTGAATCTAGGTGCACTGGTGTGAGAGGTTCATCATCACTCTCTTCGCCTCTACATATCAGATTATCAAAAGATCTACTATGGAACATCTTAAAGGTAGTCCACCTGGCTTTGAGACAGGCCGAGGATGTGCTCACACAAGCACATCTTGAGGAGCAGCAGTTTCTGGGAAGGAGTGCTGGGAAGTGGCTGACGTCAATAGCCTTTTCCACTGATGGAAAGATCCAAAAGATGATGTCCGCCTATGGCCTTAGTGTTCTCCCCCAAGAGAGAAAAATACAAAGGAACAGCAAAAACGGACACAGTCCTAGCCATGACCACAGCTCCCAGTTCTCTTTCTGGGCACAAGAGGATACTTTGCTTATTACACATGCACCTGTGAAAGTCCAGGGCATTAAAGGACTTATATTTGAGAGGGTGAGGATCCTTTCCATCACAGGAAAATTAGTAATCCTGCATCATCTGAATTAGGCAACAGCAGCATTGCTGGTGGTTTAAGAGTCAGATGAATCTGGTCCAGAAGCAGCACCAAGCTTTGTAGAGCTTCATAAAAATGGTTACAATCAACTGTTCTTCCTCCTAACCTTACAGTGCTGGGAAAACGCAGCATGACCAGACTAGTAGCCTAGGAAAAAATATCCAGTCCTACCAAGCACACCATTTCCTAACTTATGACAGACACACTTCCTAGGAGTTTAGACCTTAAAGTCCTCCCCAGATATTAAGAAGAGAGTTACATATGGAAGAAAATACAACCCTGAAGAAACTGGTTAAGAGTAAAAAATATGGCAACTCCAATCTTGGTATGCTCAAAAGGCATTTTTAGAATACAACTGTCCCTTCCTAATGCAGGGCTATCACTTTGTTTCTCCAACAATATTTTTCACTAAAGAAATGCTCCTCCAATTACAAACATCAAAGATAATACTTTAAAAATAATACTTCGATTATTATTTAATGTTTATAACTTACTAGAAGTTAACATTTTTACATGTTTTCTATTTTTATCTTGAAAGGACAGCTAATCTTAAAACAGCCACATATGGACAGACTCACTACCTAAGGGCCATTTCTAAACATCCTCAGTCTGACTCATTTTAAATGAAAGAGCTCCCCCACACAAACAGGCTCCTTACCAGTGAAAACTTCACCAGCCACTATGACTGATCTACTGACCAGAAGCATCAGTGAAAAAGCAACTCCCACTATAGGTACATTAGCTATGGGCTCTGACCAACAACTGCAAAGTGGTCTGCACCTGCTGACAGTTACCATTTCCTGCAAAAGCTTATTTTTCACCTGACAGAGAAGGCTAAACATGGCACCTATCTGACTGCAAGAATCAGTCATAACACTCAGTCGCGTGGCATTGCTAAAGTAAAGCTGTGTCACTTTGTAACATGTTATAAAAATTCACTGATTACCTTAACAGACTAGAAATAATCACCCTAATTTTCCATTAAATATAGCATCATAAATTCAGTGAAATCAGAAAAAAGTATAAAAAAACCTTTCAAAATAGCTCCTTAGTTATACCTTGCTTGAACTGAACCATTGGTATATGAGCAGCATGAGTAATCTCATTTCATTTCTCACCGTAACTCGACAGAACACAAACAATAAAAATAAGCTATAAAAATCACAGTACATCAGAAATCTGTGTAAAAAACATCCGTATCAAGGAGCTCAGTAACAACTTAAAGCACCACTCAAAATTAAGTACCATACATGTTACAGTACATTCCATTTATTATGACAATTTAAGGCTAAAATAGGTACGACTCCCTTATAGTTAAGCTTTCTTATATTTATAAATGCATACAAACATTAAGTAGAAACAAATGTGGAGGGTTTTTTTATTGCTCTGAACTGTCTAGTAGAGTGTTCGACTTTCCCAGATGTTGTCTCAGTTTGCCTTTTTCATTCAAGCTGAAGCCCTACAATTGCAACTTACAGCACTTGTGCAATTATAGACCTTCTTTGATTTAAGCTGTAAATAAATTCAAAGACATATCAGACAAAACTTCCCATCACTGCAAACTTTGTAAGTTACTTAACTAAACATTTGTCCATGAGATACATAACAATTCACCACAAATATTATTTCTGCAATTCTTCAGGAAGGATTTTCTTTTCAAAATAATAGGTCTAACCAAGCGGCAAACAAGACAACCAGCAAGAAATGATTGACTAGTACCAGTCTAACAGACTGGGCTTTAGAAAACAAAACAAAACTGGATATGTGCTCCAAAACAAAGAGCAAACTTTTCTTCTTGCTCATAGAGCAATTACATTTCCTAATTACATAGGGCAATGCCTCATTCTGCCAATGTCAAATTCTTTGACTGTAGCTTGTCCATTTCTTGACCAATATTTCCTTCAATCGTATCACACTGGGCAAGAAAAACCTGAGAATAAGAAACAAACCAATGTTATTGAGAATGCAATTGTAGCAATGGTAGATGCTTCTTCATAACAGAAACTGAAGTTTCCATCATGAATTTGAAGAAGCCAACTCAACAACCACCTTCCAGTTGATTTGGTAATAGCTTATTCACAAATTTGTTCACCCAGAATCCAACAGAAGCATGGTATTTGATAAGGCAACAACATGGTTGCCCATCCTCACCAGTCCTGCCGCTGAAGTACTTTGAGTTGATACAAAGTTCATAAACAACAATAAGGATCATAAAGGTTCAGACAAGTTAGTGCTTCATTTAGGAATATGACTTTTAAACTCCTCTCTAAAACACATTTCTATAGCCAAGGGTGGGAGTAACAAACCTACTCAGTCAAATCTAAAACAAGCCTTGTTAAACCAAGGCCTCTTCTGTTTCTCTGGGCTACAGGGCAACATGAACGTTCCATCTTTATATCAGTAAGCAGCCGGTGTGCCTCAAAAGACAGAAGGCTCCTTTACAAAAAGGGCAGTCCGCAGCACCGTAAGCTTTCTTAGAACCTGCCCACAAGTTCTTACAAGTACAGCAACCCACACACAGCAATTAAGAGTCAGCAGCCACTGGTCACCTTGCTTGTGTTGTATACAGCACAACACGCCAGCAGTTTAAGCCAATACATTCTTTTAGGCTGATTCCAATCTATGTCAGTACACTGCAGTTTCTGAGCAGACTCTCCCACTATGTCTTCACATCTTGCCCTCTGTTTTGCTATGTCTGCACTAGGCTTTAGCAGTCAAACTAGATATTTAATGTTATTTACATTAAAATGACATTAAGAAACCTCCTTCCCTCTAGAGCAGCAAACTGTTGTGCCAGGTGAATGTTTCCCAACCACCACAATGTTTTGAATCATCTGTCTTCAACCAATCCCTTGAGCTGGCATCAACTAATTTCTGTAAGGACTTGAGGGATGAAAAAGTCAAGGTAATAACAATTCCAGTTACTGGTTGCAAGCATTTTATATCTGTCTCCCCATTCTGGAAGATATGTGATCGCCAGCAACAAAAGGCAATTAATGGCTCCCCCTTTCTTTCATGAATACTTAAGAGTCATAAGAATAACTTGCCATCATTTTCTTGCTCTGGAAAAACAAACTGCTGTTGACTGCTGTGGTCTGAAACCCCTTAGATTCTTCTGCAGTCCTCAAAGGGTTCATAACCTACAGTGCAGAACACTGTACCTATCAAAGCACATCAATAATTCTGATCTCTGCTCAACAACCTGTTTTATGCTTTAATAGCAGTTCTTATACAAAGCATCACTTATTTCAGCAATAACCTCACACAAGAGTGGAGCTTGCCATGAGGTTTATAGCCATACCTCTATTACAAAGTTTTGCTGCTTTGCTTAGGCACATGGAATCAAAAGCATCTTCAAAGCCCCATACAACATAGCTATGCCAGCAACCATCTTCATTTCTATTTTGTGTTATCTGAACTTCTCTGTAACAGAGTACAAAGGGCTTTCTCCCTAAAGCTATAACAAAAACCATTTCTACTATGAAGTAATTCTTGGTAAGGCTTTGTCGAAAACAGGTGGCTGGTCATAAAAAAATTGGCAATATAAGAAAGTTACAGTAAAAGACAAAACCTTTCAATTACATATATGAATGCAGGGTCCTTTCACAGATAATTTTCAGGAGTCCAACCTTTGACTGAAGCTAGCATAATACAAATAACAGCAGTAATATGAGTAGCATTACCATTCATTTATGGAAGTTTGGCTTTTGGGGGAGGAGGGAGGAAGGAAGGACAAGTTCCAGGAATCAGTAACAAACCTTCAGTTCAAGGTCTCTAAGGAAACAATGCCTAGGAATTTATAAGCATCATACAATGGCAAAGCAATTAAAAACTCCACCCTCCAGCACAGATGCTCTTCTGTACAGACTGTACTTTAGAGACACTCTATAGCAAGTTGGTACATTGCAACAGAAGCTAAATTTTCCAAAGAACATCTCCAGCAAGGTCCAGCAGGAGTTACAGTTGACTGCACCTTGTGCCCAGATCACATTCATTACTCCAGCCCACCAAGATACGGGAAAGGTAGAATCATCCCATTTTCCTCACAAGTTATCAGAATTACTTCACATCATCAGGCAGCCATAAGGCCAACCACTAATGTAAAATAAAAACGTCATCTGAAAACAGCATGAACTACGAAAATCTATATTTTATAAAGCTACTAAATACCTCTCAAAGGGAAGTCATAAAAAACACCAATGTAAGCACAAACACTGAAAAAATCTCAGCTCTAAACAGCTCTTATTTTCACAAACTCTTGGTACACAAGTGCCCAGCATTAATGGTAAAAAAAAAAAAAACCCAAAAACTCACCTGAACCCTTTTCACCAACCCCTTCTTTTTCAGTTTGCAATCACTGAAATTCTCTGGCAGACTCTGCAGTAAAATAAACAAACAAGATGATGTAGTTTAATGTTGCAATTAACATATTAAACTTACAGCAAAAACTGATTGTATCAAAGAATCCTCTGAAAAGGTATCTTGAAAATGCCATGCCTGCTCAGTAAGGATGATTACACAAGTAAGAATTTAAAAGAAAAAGTCATAATTCAAAAAGTCAGGGATGCAGCATTCTGATTGCAAAGAACTGAGCTAGCAAATTTGCCACGTAGCTTTAGGTAACGTACTGTCATAACTGCATACACTGCTTTTGTCTACCATGGCGTATGTTAACTGTTCTGCTGAGCCTCAACTTCAGATTTTTTCGGAGACTGTAAGATGAATTTGTTTCTTAGGAACACATTAACTCAATCACTTGCCACCATTAGAATGTATCATCAGTAACACAGGCATTACCAGTCTGTACATCTGATCGCCTCTGCAATCTGCTCATGGAAGGGAACAGTTGTAAAGTGTTACATGTTGACAGCTTTTAATTGAATTCAAACTGCATAATTTTCCATACTCCCACCACCAAAAATATTCATGTATGTCATCTTAGCAAATGTTCTATGCTTCGTCCTTTTGGAGCAGTGTGAAATTGGGGTGTTGGTGGGGAATGGTGCTCAGATTTATCTGTTTTTTGAAATAGGTAAAACAGATTATTATCATCATATCAAGTTTATGTGAACATTCTTAGAAACATGCTCTCACTGTTGAAAATGCATTAAAATCTTGGAGTTTCTCACTGGTGTATCTTTTGTTTTCCACCCTAACTCCATTATCAGGAACAGAGGTTTCCCTATACTACTCTCTGTTTCATTACAGCTAAAATGCAAACCCTACTGGGAGGTTGATACATACTTCGGTAACAATTTAAAAAAACAAAAGAAAACAAAAACAAAAAAAAAAAAAAAAAGAGACGCTCTTTTCTTTTAGTGTCCAGCAAAACATACATGGTGTTAAATATAAGAGTCTTGCACATAATCTAATATAGGAGTTAAAAGTACACAAGACTCCACACCAAAAAACAGTCCATTGTGGGAAGTGAAGTTCAGGGATCACACTGCTCCAGTATTTGTGCAGTAATTAGCACACTGTAAGTGATATCAGACAAAGAAACAATCATCACCAGGCTTAGCATGCATTTGCAGCACCATGGGTGAGGAGAAAATAGGCAAGCAACTGAGTAAGCTGGGACACATTCTTGCATTTTACTTCTACATAAACTTCTGGTTTAAAATCCCATTCCCTCTTTCTGCGCTCAGTTGCAAGAAAGAATGCACAATGCTGCTTCTTGTCTGCTAGGAAAGTATCAAAGTTGGAAGTTGGAGTAACTACTACCACACTAACCTCTTCCCACAGTCAGTTTTTTTTTTTGTTTTGTTAGTTTGCTTTTGGAAGATGAGTAAGAGAAAGAATCTTCTGCTCTGTAGTTCCAGCTTCCTTATCTGTTGCTCCAGTACCAGTTTTCCCAAACAGCAGCAGCAGTGCTAAGCTGTATAAAACTCCTATCAACTTTCAACACTTCTCTTCAAGATCAGAAAAGATATCTCCCTTGCAAAGAGCTTTTATGTCAAGACTGCACCTCCTGAAACAGAACCAGAAATTGCACATACTCCTTTCAGGTGGAAAAATGACCATCAGTCTGATCATCAGAGATTATGCGGATTAAGTGAAGTACCTTCCAAATGCAAATTGGTGCACTGTTATCTTATAAACAGGGACAGAAATATCTAAAAACTGAAAGTTATGGGGTTTTCTGTTTGTTTTGGTTTTTTTAAATTGATGTTAATCTTCTTAGCGCCAAAAACATTCCTTAGTTTGTCCTCGGATGCATTCCATCACTTATCTATGCTTTCCAACTACTCTTATTTTGTGAGAAAAAGGACAAGAAGTAGCTTTGAAAGCAAGTTACCAAGTGAATTCCAGGAATCTGTCATGCACAATGTAAATACTCCTAGGGAAGCCTGTTCTACAGTGGTCACTTTCTTCATTTATGTAATTTTGCATTACATCTTTCAATTAACAGCACAGGACAGGTTCGGAAGCTGTTGTTATATTTTCAACAACAGCCTGCCTAAAATGAAAACTCCTTTTTACAAGTGGCACATGTCCATTTTCCAAAGCACACAGTTTTTTCATTCCCGTTAGAAGCTACTTTGCTCTTTACAAAGTTTATTTTCTAGTACTGTGTACTGCCATAAGCCCTTGCTCACTGCAGCATGCTAAACCTGCTTGTCTCCTCCCAAACAACAGGACACTGTGAAAAGATTGCATTACATGCTTTTCTTTCAGAAGCTGAATGCTCCAAAGACATTACAAAACAATTCAGAATTTAGTTTAAAGCTGTGGATTAATTCCCTTCAAACACCAGCTCTAGTGCACAAATAAAAGAGGTGACCTTCAGAGTATTTATAGTTGTCACAGAGGAAAAAAAAATTAAAAAATATTATCAAGTTATACAAAGCATTCTAAAGGATCTTAGACATAGTCATTCTCATGTAACCACAGAAGAAAACATTCCTATTTTTCCCTTGGTTTTCAACAACCCAATTCACTTTTTAAAGTTAACAAAATATGACAAGAAACATTTAATGTAAAACAGTATTTGATGGGTGCTATTTTGACCTCATACATGTAACAGCCTGAAAGAACAAAGATGGGTTAAGCCTAATTATTAATGGCTCATTCTCACCAAAAAATGAAAATGTTATTTCATTGTCACAGAAATTCTTCTATGCCTTGAAGTTTTCAATGAATTGGAATTTCTTAATAATCAAATTAAAAATGAAATTATGCACTAGCTCAGTTACACTGCCCATCTCCCTTTGCTGAGTACTTATTTCAGGCTGTACTTTCTGAAAGAGATTCTGCCCTATGCAAGTATTCCTACCAATCTGAAATAGCAAATTAACAAACAGGTTTCTGTCATCAGAATAGGCCTAAGTTAACTTTCAATAGCAGACAGGGAACTCCAGCTGGGCTTAGCACACAAAGTCTGTTTCTAAAACAGATATTGGTAACTGGAGGACACTTTGAAATCTGAGTACAGAGAAGACATTCAGACAATTTCTACTTTTGACAACATTTTTCAAAACTGTTTTTTTTAATTACGACTCTGCATACAAACTTGGATGTTTGCTTGCACACCCTCATAGCTGGTTTTTTGCCTTTTTTTTTTTTAATCACACCTTGTAATCCCCTTGGCAGAGACATGTAATTGGAAGGCTTAAATGTACTAACTTATCAAGCTGCTTAAAAGGTGTTTTGCAATCAAATTAGTAAAGTTTACAAATCTTAACATCAAATTAAATCTCACAGTCTCTGTTTTACCTTAGTCAGCTTATGTCTCCTCTCCAGGAATACGCTGTCCAACTATTCAGGATTTAACAGGTGAAGCTGGCAATAAACCTTAAGTCACAATAACATTTCAGTATTTAATTAAAATCAAATTTAATTAAAGAAGTAGTAGCTTAAGCCTAGGCAGTGTTTATGCAAAACTTTTGCCAAATCTACATTTTGGTGTTAGCAATGTGTGCAGAGCAGCAGTTTGGATTAGTATATGGCTTTCTACTGCACAGCACATTCTTACTTTCATAGCAGGTCTCCTCTTTGCATTGCACTTTGTAACAAAACTGCTCAAGTCTCACAGTCCGTGGTCTGCACGCTCTTAAACTTTAAAAAGTTATTCCAGTGCTGGCTTCCCCCCAGCAACTTCTGTAAAACTCCTGGGCACAGGTTCTTTATCCTCCCCTCACCCACCCAGAAAGAGAGCCCAAGTCCCCCTGTTATCAGTGGCTATCTCCCACCCCACAACCCTAAATTTCAAGTTGCTTAACCACATCTCTTCAAAAGTTCTCACCCAGCAGATGCACTGACAAGACGCACTGCAGAGACACAAACATTACATCCTCAAAAATTCATCTTTCATATGCACAACAATGCTTTACACAAGAGATCCTTAAACCCAATCTTCGTTTACACAGTAATAAATTAATGCCATGTGCACTTTCCTGCCTCTAGATCCTCTCTGTTCTTGAGTGTCCTTTTAACCATGAACAGCATCCCTCTCTGCTGAACACTGCTTTTATGAAATAAAGACTCTTGTCATTTCTTTCCGCTCTCCCAGATGATCTCCTAATAAAACCACCTCCCTTTGCCACAGAACATCACCTTCAGCTCTGCTCAAGTTCTGTTTTGGAAGTGCTTCCAACAACAATTTTTAAGCTTTGTGTTACCATCACATCTTTGTTTTCCTCTTCAGTTATTTCTTATTTCCCAAACCATGGACCCAGTAGGTCATGTCTGATGCCCGAGTCTACTTTATAGCAGTGTAGTCAGTTAATAAACAGAGCAAATGCTAGTCAAATTTGTTATTTATTACTATCTTATCATCTTATCTGATCTTATCAGAACCAAAAGGACACCATTCTTAAAATAGGCAATCTCCTACACTAGCAATAATAGCTAGAAACCTTTTCAGTTTGTTATCAGATTGCTTAAAAAACCAAAACAAAACACCACTTTGTTTCACATGGCACCAATGCTAATTAGTGAGAAACAAGAATTTTTGGCATATAGAGTCTAGTTTTTATTGACTACCAGCTCTTCACTTTTTTGTAACTTATTGTTAAATAAATTGGTAAATTGGGTAAGCAGATTATGTTGTAATGGAATCTTTTTCATTTAAGTAGACATCTGTGCAACTTCTTTAAAAGCAGCTATTAAATGGCAGCATTTGTCAATGGGTTTTCTGAATGCAGAACTGGGTAACTAAGCAGTCTGCCCTCACTGAGGAATGACAGTATTTTCATGCTCCTTGCACTTCAGAAAAATTTTCCCCAAAAGCTTCGATTTTATCTTTATCATTCATGCTAAGAGATTTAAGATTTATAATAAGAAATGTTTATCAAATGTTTCTTTATGAAGAGAAATTCAAAGGTTTAGTAATAAGTTCTCATCTTATTGTAAGTGGCAAAACTTCCCAGAAGCCTGGGAAATGTTTGTAACGGGCACAACGATGGGGTTATTTTTCAGAATATTTATTTCTTTTAATCCTTGAAATGTTAATTTTTGGTATTGATTTACCAGACGACAAATACAGCAGGGGCAAGGACACAGTGAAAAAAGCTTCATCAGAACAGTAATTTAAGTAAGTTTTACAGAGGAATTATGACAAAAAAAATCCTCAAGAAAGGAGGATGGGCCACCAGAATATAATTATTAATCAGTAGTGTTATCAGTGTCCTCAATACTGATACATGCAATTTGACAGATGAATTTCTCATGAGTTTATGTAAACAAAATCAGTGACTGGTATTTCAGAAAACAAAGCTATTTTTTCAGTCGTTAGAACAATCTGCTCTCTGCAATATTGTCCTTCTAGATTACAAATCTCCCATTTAATAAGAAAACACCATGAGAACAAAGTATCAGTGACAGACAATGTAAATTAGAGCAGGCTCACAAAAAAGTACAGTGTCATGACTGTGGATTGAAATTTTCCCACTGATCTCAGAAAAGCTTTCCTTTTTCCTCCTGAAAAACGCTTTTCATTTATTTAAAAACCTGTGCCAGCTGATCAAGGCAAGGATTTTCTGTGTCCTACTCACCGAGATTTGTAGTAAGTACTGTACTTTGACTTTTACTCTTTTACTGGCATTTCTGGTGATACACACACACACAAATCTTCAACTGTTGAACACGGCTCAGTTTGTTTTCCTCCTGAAGAAAACTTCAAAGATCTGTGGCTTATGGGAACATCTGACTATGTCACAGTACTCAAAAATTTGTAAGATGCTCGTAAGATCCCTCCTGCTGTGGAAGCAGTAGCTATTTTAACATATCTAATGCTGAAATGTTTAAGTTATAGCTACTCAGAAGCATGCCTTCAAGACTTTCCTTTCGCAACTCTGGCAGTGACAACACTGTATTTTTTCTCTCCCACCCCAATACTGTAAGACTACCAACCTACTTCTTCACTTCCTAAATCACTTATTTTAAACTCATAGTTGCTGAACACACAGATTCTAGTAAAAAGGAGTATTAGTTACAAACTCAGCTCCTCTAATTAATAAGCTTGTTTGCTAACAGTAAGACGACACCCCTAGAATAGACAGAAAAACAGTATGCAGGCTTCCTCACCCTTAGCTCTCTATAAACATACAAATCTCATTTTGTATTACACTATATGTTTTTGATTGATCCAAACAATGTATGACATCCAAGACACTTTAAAGAGCTTTCACAACAATTCTGCCAAAGAAACAAGCTGGAACATTCATAGTGTGAGCTTGCTGGTACGTTTCACTTCTGCAACGCATCCATTCTCCTGCCTTCGCAGAAAACAGCTCCATCGCTTTTTCCCCCCTTATCTTGTTTAACATGCTGTTGATTGAATCAATAGCACATCTATATGGTCAATAACATTTAACAGATTTGTCAGAACTTGCTTTTACTTGGCTCACAAAAAGAATACTAAATACTGTATAAAACAATTCTGAGATACAGATAAAATACCTTCTGGAAGCTTTACGCTTTTCTGCTTTGCATTTCTATTGACTACTTTTTACTATATTGTTCATATGCACACTTCATTACCATTCTGTGTTGCTACCTCTGTATGTTGCACAACTACACTACAGCTAAGTAAGAGCTCAGAAAGCTGGTTTCCTCTTCATCTGATCTGGTGCAATACCACTATGCTAAATAGCTACATGTGATGTAAAGATTCCACCGAACTACATGTATCGCATCTGCAAGATTTCACATAAGGTTCACAGAAGTTCAGTTTTCATAACAAAAGCCACAGATGCCTTTGTATATTAAAACAAATAAATATGGACTTTGGTACGTGTAACCTAACTTCAATCACTGGTAATAAAAACCCTCACTTATTTCTTGCTGTAAAAAAAAAAAAAAAAGGAGGCTCGTCAAAGTCATAGGCTCTTATACAACAAAGTAACAAACAACTACTACAAATATGAAAAGATACTAATTATAATTAGTTTTAACTCTGGCCGCCCCACTTACACAGGAGACAAAACCGATGCACAGGCACTCCATTATTTCCTAAATCTAAACACGAAGTCACTAGGCTATAAGTCTTCTAAAATCTCACACTAAACCTGAGAGTCCCTTGTCTTGTCCCTATTGTATAGATAATAGCATGCTTTCTGTTTAAGCCACGCAAAAAGTATCGGAATCAAAAGTAAACTTGGGAAACTCAGTTTGAATTAACTATGAAGCAGTGAAAAGGGTTTTTTCAAGACTGCTTGATGAGTTCCAGAACTATACACCAGCACACAAGTACTGACTTTTTCTAAATAGGCCTTAGTATCAGAAATTGAAGGGATCAGAAATGGGCTTTAATCCTATCCAACTGAAACAGTTGTCACCTTATTACTATTTTCATTATAACACATAGTCAATCTGCTACTTCAAACAGGAAATCAGTCATATGAAGTCTGCATGTCTAACAGAATCCAAGAACTGTCAGCAAAATATTTTCCTCCATATGAGGCAGAAAAGGAAAGAAAAAAAATAAGACTTTAAAATACTTAGCATATTACAATTGTAAAAGAGTATTTAGGAACTGTTGGCTATAACAAACAGTAAGGGCTAGTTTACCATTAAAGGTGGACAATATGAAAGGAAGAAATAAGTCAATGAGCTCCTCACCATTCCTAGAAACACATCCATATTGTATAGCATGTGATGATAGCCAGTTCAAATTATTACTCTATGATTTAGTCTGCTGATGAACTTTTTCAAAGTGTCCATCAATTAAACATCAGGTTCACCAATTATAGGCATTTGCATGGAATCTCTCTGAAACAATCCCATGAAGGGCCACTGTACAGAAGAGTAGACCCAAAGACATCACTACCACAGAAATGAAGCGTTTTTCCTTCAGAGCAGGATATTGTGACCATGATATGCAACATAATTAAGTAATGAAGTTTACAGAGAATGTCTGCAGACAGAGAAACAGAATAAGGAAATACCCTAGTTGCCACAATCTTCTGTTTATCTCTACACAAGTCTCTTATTCTCACTTAGCTCTCAGCTACTACATGATACAGGAAGATATCTATTATACTCTGGAAATAAGCTGCAAAGTTATGATCCATTAATGACTGTGAAGCACTTGAATATACCCCAGTACATCTGAAAAGAAGAATCCAGTCCTCAGTATGCAGGCATCTCAAATAAAAGTCCTGTCAGTCCACATACAACTGACCACAAAATTCTTCAGTCTTCACGACCTCCTTGTTCTTATGCAGTACAGAATACAAAGTTTATCTGGTGTTTTTTTCCCCAGACCTTCACTGTAACCATGACGTTTAACATTAAAGTTCGCCAAGACAAACTAAAAGGGTAAAACTGGAGTAAAGGATACCCATTTCATGTAGTCTTAACAGGCTGCTGCCCCAAATGAAGCTCCTCTTAGAATAGGGATGCATACACAGGAATTAATGTCACCATTCAGAAATAGATGCTGACAAGTAGTCTTTTGGAGACATACAGGGGCAAGCGCTGGATATTAAAGAAAAAATGAGCAAACCAATTAACTAATTTTCAAAGCCAAAATAATTTTTTTATATTCTAAAAATATCAAATAAATTACAAGAAAGATACATTCTTAACAGTAAGTTACTGCTGAGATTTGACCCTCTTCTGTGGCTATATTTACTTACAATAGAATCAATCTGTTCCAGGATCTTCATGAACTGCTCTGCAGTTCCTTTTATCCTCTTATCCAACTGTTTTAGTGCTTCTGCTTGGAGATCCTTTGCTAAAAATCCCTGAGGAGGAAAAAGAGGGAAGGAAAGACAAAATTATTCCATACCCTACAGAATACTCATCTTAGAAAATCTGTCAATCCACCACAGCAGAAAACATCGTTTACTAGTTCTGTAGTTTCAAGTATGATAGAGATTCCAATCTCAATTTTTATTCTATCAGTCCTTGAAATCCTAAATGTAAGATCTGCTACGATTACTTAAAATATTAAACAAGTAACAGACATTCTCCTTTGGACTTTGAGAGAACTCTCTGTATTTTTCTAGATCTAAAGAATATAATCTATTCATTTTGCAACAATATTTACTTTTTTCCAAAAAGTGCCATGTGTCCATTTTGCAAACTCCTAAATAGCATTTCAAATTCAGTAAGACTTTCACAGGCTCTTTTTGGCAGTTAAGAGGGACTGCCTATTACTGACTATACAAAACCTTTAAACATTATTTTTTGTAAATATATACCTACAAAACTGTTTTGCAAAGATATAAAATGATACAAAACTGGCATACCTTCTGGATACTTGTGAACTCTTTATTAACTTCCTCTAATTTATTAGCTATTTGCTCCACTGACTTCTCCAAATCTTTTAACTTCTTCAATTCAGCCTCTTCTTCTGGACTATTCTGTGTATTCAAAGTACAACATTCACAACTATGGAACAAACAGAGTCACTATGCAGCCAAAAAGCAGCAACAGTGGTGATACAGACATAAAGGCTTTTGCTGATTTAAAATACACATTACACTGTGGTAGTTCTTCCCATATTTTAATACTGATCAAATAAGCATCTTCCAAAGCTTAATTACAAATACAGACAAAGCGGCAATATATATAAACACACTAAATGAGATTAATTTGAAAGGAAAAGTGCAAACAATTTTTTTTTTGTTAGCTTAGCATCTTTTAGGTAGAGGCAACATTTATATCACAAGATATTACCTTGTCCTCTACTTGGCAAAGCCAGCCACAAGTCATTTCACTAGAAATAACCTAGCAGACTCAGTAGCTACAGCTTTTTGTTTGTTTTTCAAACAGAAAGATGGACAGATAAGGTCATCAGTACACAGAAGGTTCACAAGCACTGACAAGCAACAGATTAGGCAGAAGCTTGTCAATAACGTAAGGTGGAAATCAGTCAGTAATGTAATTTCAGAAATGTAGAAACTGCAGGTTTATTTGCAGTACAATGTGAGACTGAACTCAACTTTGTGAGTATGCATACAAGATTAGGTTTATGCTGTAGCCTGTTTCTTTGTTCAGCAGCTGAATCACTGACAGAAATTACAATAATTTAAGAAAGAAAAAAGTCTAAAGGCAACACTTACCCTTTTCCCAATCAACATGACTTTGCAACCATTTTTAACACCAAGTGCTGACAATGGTTGTTCCAATTCTTTCAGAGACTTCCCTATATGGAAAACAGAGAAAAAAAAAGTTAAAATATAGTTAGTGGCATAAGGATGTCTTTCTCAAGACATTCAAAACACGGACACCTGGAAGCGCCTACGATGAAAGGTATCATCTATAAGAAACACTGGCAGATTTATAAATTACCTTTGTATATCAGTTTCTGAAAAGGAACTGGAACTCCAGTGACTTGTTCAATAAGTACAGCCATGTCTTGTAGTGTAGGTTCACCATCTTCTTGTTGAGAAGCAACCTGAATACTGTGTTTTTCATTACCTAACAAAAACCAAAGGAACAGTAATACTTATTGTTACCTAGAAAATATTACAGGGAATCCATTTCTAATATTTCTTTCCATTAATGCAGAAAGTTCTCAAGTCACTGATTCCCACGTACAATCACAATTTTCAGTCAAAGGATTCTATTGCATTTCCTTCCTCTTGGAGTGACTTACCTCATCTGAAAATTTGGTTTCACATTCTAGTAACCCGGAGAGTTGGATCAGGCATATTCTACTGGCATAATGCTCCATCTAAATATTATTCCCCACCTCTAATTAAGAGTGCAGATGGTGTCCAGCCATCCCACAAGCTAAAGCATGAAAGCCCACACCTTCACAATGTATTCCATTTCCCATTTGCAGGAACTTTTAATAGCATGACTCTTGGGGAATCCAAGACAATTTATCACTTCCTTTGGTCCCTACTCCTCATACATGAGAAGCAAGCGATCAGTGTCTACCCTGTCTCCTCTCCATCAGCCACTGACAGAATTCTCACAGTCCAAAAATTATTTCTCCCCATAATACTGCTGACATGCAGCCTCAACCACTTTGAGAAGTCTCAGCCTACATGTCACCTTCCACTTACAGAGCATCCTACTCAGACTCCCTGAGACTACTTGCATGCAAACAGCAGGAAGTTCTTAGAAAAAAAAGTCTATTAATCTCTGCTTTGCAACACAGTTTCTATAACCCTCTGCTCCCACAAACTTAAGGCCTGTCAATTTGAAAGCACTCACAGGAACCAGCCACCATTGGCTGCAAGGGAAATCAAGACAGGCATTTTTTATTTTGCAGGAAGAGAGAACTCCTTAACAAATACCAGAATGAAAACTATTTGCATGCCACTAATCTGAACTGCACGTATCTTTTACAAAGAAGAATGCTAGAAACATTGATTTTAAAATGTTCCAGCCTCCTAGAGTCATGACAATTGACACTGTGGCCTCAAAAACTTGCAAGCTCCAACAATATCTGTTAATTCCAAAATGCTTTTAAGCTCAAAATCAGATTATACAAACTCTCCCCCAAACATTTTCCATAAACAGACCCTCTTCCCAATTTGTTTTGGGAAAAAGAAAAAAAAATGGGTTCTAACCTCCATATATTACAAAAGGTTGTTTTCATATGTACAACTGCTTTGGTGCAAGGGCTGTGCCTATCAGCAGTTGAGAGGAAAAACAAACAATCAGCAAATGGGGAAGAGAACAGCTGAAGTTTGCCTAGCAATAGAAACAGTTTTAATAACAAACTATGAGTACCACTTTGGGCAGACAGTAACAAAAATTTTACTGTCAATTCACAGTGGAGTGAAACCACCCTGAAAAATACCTCATAGGTTAGGACTGGTATGATAGCTTATCAGTTCGCTTCAGTAAATCACAATACTAATTTAAAGTAACCACTAGTGCAAAACTACAAAATCTTCTTTAAAAAAGCCTAAACACATTTAAAAAACAGGCCAATTCGATTTCTTGGAGATTGGTAGTAGACCCACATGAATCAGTTGACATTCTCTTTCTTAATCCTTATTTCCCTGCTCTCACTCATGCATGCAAAACATTTAAAAACATTTGTGCTAAGCAGGAAACCAGCATCTGACAGCAACAGGTACAAATCAGACAGATGAAGTCCAAGCTGAAGGATGCCTCCCATTTGCCATCTATTACTGACAAAGTAATTACCAGACACGAAAACAACTGGAAAGATAAAAACATTCTCAGATAAGAAGACTGTTGGCAAACAGCAGAATGTTGGAGTTATAATTACATTAATAGTGTTAAGTTATTGCCATCTTTGCACATGAAACCCCTCAAATCAAATCAGTGAGCACATGAATCATGAAGATTCAAACATTATTCCACAAGGTTCCTCATCAAAGACTCTTAGATAAAACTGCCAGGTGCTAAAGGAAACATTTTCACAAAACAATGTATCAAATACAACAGTAACAGTTTGAAAACACAAATGAGCAAGCAGAAATAAACAATAAGCACTAAAGGTGGAAAGAACATCACCAGCAGAGTGCAAAAGGAACAGGAGCAGAATTTATTTTTCAATAATTTATTTTCAATATCAATAAAAAATTCACAAGCTTTGTGAACAAAAATCACTGATTTAATACCTTACTATCTTTCTCATTCCTCCTACTATCTCACCTAGATCCACTTCATTAAAATTTAAGCGTGGTATTTCCCACCTAATTTTTAAGAGCTGTGGAGTCCGGGCTATTCTTACCTCTTTGCACTAACTTTTTATATTTATTTGCGGACTTAACCGCATCTTCCTTTCCACCTTCTTCTCCCTCCTATTTTTCCTCCTGAGACAGAAAAAAAGTCAATCGTGTCAGCTGGCCTCTGAGTAACGCACTTCTCATCAGGTCAGTACCCAGCTGTCACACTGACTGAAACCACCACTTTCTGTTGCAATCTTGGAAACACTCAAGCTTATTCATTGAAACAAGATGAGAGCCCACTGGGTAGCACCTGCTTTTAACGCACTATCGTTAATCTTACTGACTTCAGTAACATATTTCCTCTAAATGAAGACTGCTACCAAAAAAGTCACCTCTGCTCCCAGCTCTCTGGCAACGACAGCCTTGTCACCTGCTCCCACCATCATCCTTACAGTGAATCTATCCCTGTGCAGCAAGTCTGAGCATCTTGCTGCTTTGCAAAAAAGCAGGTTTTTTTCCTTCCGTTGTATCAGCTGAAGTACTCCAGCTCGAAAGGGGCCAGTAGGAAGATGCGGCCTGTAGAGGAGTGAAACCCTGCGGCAGACCGAGACTAGGCCAAGCGGAGGGTGAGTCGTGCCCCCCGGGGCCCAGCGATGCCGG